CAGAAAAGCGCTACTGGCGTGGGTGCCTACAGGCCTCTACCACACCACTCAGTACTCATAAATGGCTTAGTTATAGTGCTATAATAACGTTTTTGTTATATTTTATTGATTATATTAACGAACAAATATTAATACAATAATTTAATTGTAAAAAATTATTTTTTTTTAAATTTATTATTTTTGTTTTTATTTTTCATCATTATTTTTTTTTTATTTAACTTCATTTATTCTATACGGAGATCGCTTAAGAAGGCCTCTATTATAAAAATTATAAAATTATAATAATAAAACTTAATTCAAAAATACTTTGCAGAATATCTTGATTTTTTTATTTAATATTTGCAATTTAACATTTTGTTTTATATATTTACTGATTCTTAGAGGTAATTTAAATTGTATATACTTCCCTGGAAATGAGTCATATTAATATCTGTTTTATAAACTAAAGTAATATATACCTAATCTGAACTAATTTTAATGAATAGGTGATGGATTGTTTAGTAAAATTCATATATCGCTATTAAAAAAACTATTAAAAAACAACACGGAAGTTGGACCATATCATAAAAAATAGGAACTTTTAATATTAAAGTGCATTATTCCCTCTGCACAAATGAAATATGGAAAGGGCAAAGCTATAAGTTCTTCTATGTAACTGGAACTGATTGTTAGTATTTGGTCTCAAAATGAGGGAAAACGCGAAATTGAACCCAAACATTGGAAAAATACATTAAGCGAACGACAGTGCCAAAATTTCGGAAAAGAAAACAAGGATCAGTATCCATTATATGGCTAAACGAATATATAGTAGACAAATGAACAGAATATTTCAAGATTTTGCTAAATGGAGGTAAAAATGCTTGGTCAGTTTGGATGATATTAAGCAGGTTTATTATGGTGAAGACCATTTCATCAGCAAGAAAGATTTGTTCTAAGCAATTGGGAAGCAGGTCTGGAGGAAGTAACCCGAAATGCTGTGCTTATAAAGGCTACAAATGTATTAGAAAATGATATGAAAGGACCAAAGAAAGTCTACTCAAGAATCGTAGAAGCTAAAATTAGAAATATTGTCGATTGCCTGAGCGATATGGATTGAGAAACTCAAGTTGCACATTTGAACATAAGTTGCAAATTGGGACTGTCTTCACTTTAAGGTAGGTTATAGAGAAGTCCACAGAGAAAGAAAAATGGTTCTCTATCTGCTTAGTGCCTCACACTTTGGATTGATCGAATATCTACTAGTCTTTCACAAAAGCTCGTTTTCCTTTCAGATTCATTCAAAAAACTTTTGCAATTGCACTAAAGAGGAGCAGAGCTATTTCCTTTTATCAATAGACCTCTGTATAACCTGCTTCAAAGTGAAGATAGTCCCAATTTACAACTTCAATAGCAATCTAAAATAAAGTGGTTTACACCATTATCAACCTCGTTTACTTCCTCCAGACCTGCTTGCCAATTGCTTAGAACAAATCTTTCCTGCTGATGAAATGGTCTTCACCATAATAAACCTGCTTTGAGTTTCTCAATCCATATCGCTCAGGTAATCGACAATATTTCTAATTTTAGCTTCTACGATTCTTGAGTAGACTTTCTTTGGTCCTTTCATATCATTTTCTAATACATTTGTAGCCTTTATAAGCACAGCATTTCGGGTTACTTGAAATGGTCTTCACCATAATAAACCTGCTTAATATCATCCAAACTGACCAAGCATTTTTACCTCCATTTAGCAAAATCTTGAAATATTCTGTTCATTTGTCTACTATATATTCGTTTAGCCATATAATGGATACTGATCCTTGTTTTCTTTTCCGAAATTTTGGCACTGTCGTTCGCTTAATGTATTTTTCCAATGTTTGGGTTCAATTTCGCGTTTTCCCTCATTTTGAGACCAAATACTAACAATCAGTTCCAGTTACATAGAAGAACTTATAGCTTTGCCCTTTCCATATTTCATTTGTGCAGAGGGAATAATGCACTTTAATATTAAAAGTTCCTATTTTTTATGATATGGTCCAACTTCCGTGTTGTTTTTTAATAGTTTTTTTAATAGCGATATATGAATTTTACTAAACAATCCATCACCTATTCATTAAAATTAGTTCAGATTAGGTATATATTACTTTAGTTTATAAAACAGATATTAATATGACTCATTTCCAGGGAAGTATATACAATTTAAATTACCTCTAAGAATCAGTAAAATATAAAACAAAATGTTAAATTGCAAATATTAAATAAAAAAATCAAGATATTCTGCAAAGTATTTTTGAATTAAGTTTTATTATTATAATTTTATAATTTTTATAATAGAGGCCTTCTTAAGCGATCTCCGTATAGAATAAATGAAGTTAAATAAAAAAAAAATAATGATGAAAAATAAAAACAAAAATAATAAATTTAAAAAAAAATAATTTTTTACAATTAAATTATTGTATTAATATTTGTTCGTTAATATAATCAATAAAATATAACAAAAACGTTATTATAGCACTATAACTAAGCCATTTATGAGTACTGAGTGGTGTGGTAGAGGCCTGTAGGCACCCACGCCAGTAGCGCTTTTCTGCCGCTTAAGTACATTTTATACGGAACTACTTCAAATATTTTAAAAAGTAATCAGTGTTTTAGAAAGAGAAATGTATTCTCCAGATGTTTTATTTCAGCACGTTTTGCATTATTGTTGACCGTTTAATTACAAACGACGCTTGATTTTCAACTTGAAATTTTTTTTGTAAAAAAAATTGACTTTACCGATTTTTTTTAATGCCTAAGCCAATTAGTTTTTAATATTTTTTCATGTTTTTTATTCTCTGACTATCCAGCTTTAATAAAAGACCAACTATAATGAAATTAAGCCATATGCTGATTCTCAGTAACAAAAAAACTAACTAAAGTCAAAGTCGTCAATCCGCCATGTTTGGACGCCATTTTAGGGCAGTTCGTTCACTTTTTTTTGTGGGAACATTGGCTTTTTTTTTAATAAATTGTCACAAGGAACACAACGATATGCAATTTATAGGGATGTGGGGGGGGGGGTGCACGGTAAGGGAGTCTGGCCCACCGTGTATTACGTATTCAAGCGTAACCCCTCTGTCTTACTCACTACCCACCAAAAAGTGCAAAGCGTACCTAAAAAAGTTTTCATTTCGAAAACATAAAACTATCAATTTCCTACTTTGGTGCAGAAAATCGGATTATTGTTAACATACAATTTTTTACAGCTCTTGTGTCTGCTATTACTATTTTTAATATTTCTCTTTACTTACTGGACACCCTGTATTATATATTTATACCTACTATGAGTATAGTACTTTGGTGTATGGAATTCAAATTTTACATCCTATTATAGAATGTTTATCTGTACTAACACCTTGTATACATTTATAATGTATACACACACACATAGTATTGTATATAAACCCAGGCCTTATGATTAACGACCTGAAGAAGTGCCCGTTGTGGGGACCGTACAGTGGTTGAAAATCGAACTTTGGCAATACCGGTCTGTAAATCACAGAAAAATAGTTTTGATACTATCATAATCACAAATAAATTTTCTATAAAATGTAAATAGTAAAATCTCGCTTAGCCGGCTTTCCGGATTGGGATTTCTGGGGTGCCCAGAAAGAGGATTCATCGCGCAAGTTGCAACATTAACATTTTTGAGGTGGGCACATTTTGACAGGTTTTTCAATTTTTAAGGGGGCCACATTTCAACGGGGTTATGAATTTTTGTAATGAAAAGTTTCAAAATATATTCTACGAATTGTTAAATTATAATTTTGTTTTTAATGTTTTTAAGAAGAGAGTAGCAAGAAAATATCTTGAGAAGGGTGGGAGAAGGTTCATGCACCAACTCTCGAAGCAAAATCCCCACCAAACCATCACTGAAAAATGGTGATTACCTGTTTCAACTCTGCCAATGACTTCCTGGGCTTCCTTAGAGCTGTTTGCGTACACACGATCATTTTGGCGATTAAATGTTTGTTCAATTGTAAAAATTTTCTCATCACTTAAAAAAATCTTTCAATGAAGACCATTGGTGTAACGGCCAAGCACCACTTTGGATCTATCCACTTTAATTTCTTTTAGGGAAGTGCACGGGCGGATCTACGGGGAGGGCTTTCGGGCTGAAGCCCCCCCAAAATGGAAAAATGTAACCATGTTTTATGGGAAAAAAAATTTTAAAAATACCTCTAAAAGTATTATTGTTAGTGTAATTACATTTAAAAGTACTTAAGGAATAACTTAAACACCATTTCATATAGGTAGTTAGTTTCTTTCTGTTTTTCCAAAGTAATTATCGTTATTTTTATGAAAAAAAAAAGGTTTCGGGCTGAAGCCCCTCCCAAAAATTAAATCCTGGATCCGCTAGTGGAGAAGTGGTTAGCCTTTGTTCTCTGATATGCGCCCATCCTTAGGTAACTTTTTACTATGCGAGACATAGATCTGATTCCCATTTTCCAAGACATGATTTCTAGTTTTCCAATGGGATTTCTTCTGATGTGAGCTCTGCCCTGCACTGCTCTCACTGCATTTGCCGTTCTCACAGTATGGGGGCCGTCCTGGTAGAGTTCTGTCACATACAGATAGGGTCTCATTATATCTATTTATGATGCGGTACATGAACATACCGCTGATACCCAGAGGTTTCAAAATGTTAAAAATCTCTGATCTACATTTTCCAACTTTGTCTAAGGTGATCACAGCTATTCAGTTTTCTTTATCACCCCATTCTATGTTAACTGAGCGAAAGAAAAATACAAACTAATCGGGATTATTATCCTGACATGTAAAGAAAATAAAGTAATAGAGGTAAAGATTATCTAAATAATACCCAAGGATGTAAACAAAGTTCAACTTTTGTAACAGTATTTATGGCAGAACTAGGTAAACACACAAGGGAGTACCTGTGTGTATAAAATTTTGATTGAATTTATTTATTAACTAAGTTACTTATTTTATAATTATTTATGCTATTTTATTTGTTATTTTAGCTCCTAACAAAGTTTATGGATGTGAGGTTCGTCGCAGACACTATTTGGAAAGGAAGTCCGGAGGTGGTTTTGATCATGATGAATACGAAAAATGTCCAGATGACTACATATCTACATTTAGTAAAAAAGTATGGATACACTTAATTATTTTATTACCATCAATTCACTATAAAAACACCCAAACAACCAAATTTAATGCCATAATGTAGAATTAGGTGTATCAAACAAATTGTGAAGTAGATAGCTGTGGGTCATTCAATGCAAACAAAGTTCAATTTGTAACCCATCCTCCTCAGATCTTATAAAGTTGGAAAGACATTTTGAGCTCAAAACTATAATGTACCTGTTTGTGTTTCATTTGTAAAACCAATATTTATAGACCATGAGCATTCAAAATTTATTAATTTTTTATCAGTTTAATTCAAAACCTACTTATACCATAAGTTTTGGTATTACAATTGTTTGCAATCAATAGAAAAATTCTTAAACATAAATTATTAAATCTGTGATAAAAATATAGAAAACTACCTGTAGTTAAAATCTCTCTCCAAATAACCCAATACAATCATATACCAATGAACATCATAAAATTCTCTAAATAATATTAGAGGGATTTTGAGTTTAAAGAGTTACATTACAATTTAAACCTAATTGCATTATATTAAACATTAAACTTTAATTTATCAGTTATATATACAAGTAACAAATGCTATAATCCCTCTCCGAATACAAGCATATATTACTTGAAACAGCATGCAATACTCTTCCAAATTATAAAATAACATTGGAAAGGGCGAGTTTAATGAGATTTATTATAATATAAAATATAATTTTTTTAAAAATATGTCTGTTGATGTGGTCAACAAAATAATGTTTGTATTTATTAAATTAGATAGTGATAAAGCTTCTTGACTACACTGATATTTTATTTATTTATTGAATAAAATTACATTCTGTCACTTGGACATTGGTAATAGGGAGTGTATCATCACATTTACACAATATGTACAAAAACATATAAAATAAACATAAAAAAATAATTGAGTAATAATAAAAAAATATGTACAATAAATAAAATAAAATAACTTAAAGATAAGCGAATTAAAAAAAAAGAAGCACATACATACCTATTCATTGATATAACGCATAATATATTGCAAATAAAAATTACAAGTTTTACATAACATTTAATTTATAAATTAGTTATAAAATAGTCCAAATAAAATTAAAGAGTCCATTTAAAACCTAATTATCGCCTATAATGACCTTTTCAAGTTGTTCTAAGCTTTTTTAATATCTTTCCGAGAATCTGGATCAATTTCGTAGAAACCAAAAAATTCAAAAGATACCTCAAGTTTTATTAAACAAAGAAGATGAACTGATGGTACAGGTCATTTATTTTTTTTATTAGTCATTAGTCATTAGTTTTTTGAGGCCAAAAAAAGTGTCAGTTGGACCAGAGGGATGCAGAAATCGGATGTCATAATCACCTTCTTCTTCAATTATATTGTGGACCATTATAATCCTCCAGCTGTTTTCATAAACACTACTCCCCAGTCAATGAATGCTCGAAAAGGGAGTGTTTAATTTATTATGCAATCCTTTCCAAGGCTGTCAGGTATATTGATATAATAATTATGCTTTTGTAGCTGGTACATTTATTTGAATGTTTTGGAATGTGTATAAGTTATTTGATCATTATATAATTAAACTATTGGGTTAAACATATTGCTGTATTTCATTTCTCTTATAATTTGATGTATTATAGCTGGATCTGTTAGTGGATTAATGAATTTGGTATGACTGTTACATCTATTATAACTATCAACTAACTGCGGATTAGGTAGGTGGTGGCTAAAATTAATTATTTATCGTTTCCCCTCATCTTCCTTTCCTTCCCCTGATAGTCCTCTCTGGGATCTACTCCATCTATCCTGTGAATATAGCTCTATCTATCGCTCAAGTACTAGCGGATCCAGGATTTAATTTTGGGGGCTACAGCCGGGAAGTTTTTTTTTTTCATAAAAATGACGATATTAACTTTGGAAAAAAAGAAAGAAACTAGCTGTCTATATGAAATGAGGTAAACATACTAAAAGTACAAATTTCAATGTGGTGAGCCAGATGTAAGGGGAGGGGAGAAGAAAGGGGGAGAGAGGGCGCACACTGGGATGAATGACCAATCTAGGTGGAAAAAATGAATGGTCAAATTTTTCAAATTTAACATATCTCATTACATAAAACAGAAATGTTTAATTAGAAGATAAACATAAGCTATTTTGATTTTAGTGATTCCCACCGATAAATATAACCCCCTAAACAACTAGTTATTTGATAGCTCATGTTTTGTTCACCTATTGTGTTATCTTTCATTTGAGTTCAGTATCACTAATTAATTTATTTTTTTTTCAATAATAACATTTATTTGATAAGTATAGATGCCTAGTATTTAAGTAAGCCCTTCATTAAAGTATCAATTCATAATTTGCCAAAAAACTAATTTATTTCTACATTCTCTAAAATAAAGTAATTTTTTAACTTAAAAATTAATTTACTAAAATATACCCCGAAATATCCCAGTGAATTTTTTTTTACAGACGTTAATAAGTAGGTATATTAAATAAAAATATAAGAGTTGATTACCTTTGTCTGCTTTTGGAGATATTATTTTATTTTATTTTGAAACATATTTTATTAAAATAATGAAGTAATTTGGCATACGAAAAAATCCTTCTGATATATAGCCTATAATTAATGTTATTTAGCAGCAATTCGAGTCAGAAAACATCTCTCTTTTGCTGGGTTGAGAAATTATCTCAAATTGGCATGGCAAAAATTAAAACGAACTGATTATTTATTGTGAACAACAATATTTCACTCAAAATGTTTGTCATATTATAACTATCTCCGAAACGTGGCTTAAACCTTATATCTCCTCCTCTTCCGTTTCCTTGCCTAATTAAACCATCCTCCGTCATGACCGGGTAAGCCAGACTGGCGGTGGAGTAGCAATATTTGTCCACAATAGCCTGAAGACCCGGGCTCTCGATTTCTTCCCACCTTCAAACCACCCACAAATTGAATACCAATTAGTAGAAATCTTCTGTAATACTTCTCCTCTCCTCTACACTGTGGTATATCGTCCTCCTCTTGTTCCATTCTATCTGTCCTTTGAATCTACCCAATTGAATTTTGTTCTCCTCTATCCCAGGATAATCATTTCCTTTCTAACTCCAATGATAAATCCTATTTAGAAGACCTATTCTTCTCCATTCACCTCTTTATCCTTCCTTTTTCTCCTTCTCACCATACTAGCAGTCCGACACTTGGCTAGATTTCTACATTATAGACTCTGCACAACACCTCCTCTCCCCTCTTCCCAACTGCCAATATTATTTTGTCATCTCACGATCTGATACAAATAACACGTAATATCCAAACAACTCCTATCCAGCCTCGAATTATCACCTTCCGCTATCTAGATACCCTTACAGGAGAAAAAATATTACGTGACCTGGAAATCTTTTGAATGGAATAGAATATATTCTTGCTACCAATCTTCTCAATATCCTCAATACCCATGCCCCTCCCAAAACCTCTACATTTCGTTACCGGCCTGCTCCTTGGATCTGTCAGGAAATTAAAGATCTACAGAAGAGGCGTGACGCTGCCCGTAGACGCTTTAGACATACTAGGCTTGCAGATGACTATCAAGAGTTCAGGGTGCTTCGCAACTTGACACAAACAAGGATCCGACGTGCGAAATCCCTCTACTTCCATCAAGCCCTTTCCTCAACACCTGATATCAAATCAAAATGGCTACTGCTTCGTAAACTTTCCCTTTGTGTTTCTTCCATATTCCCTACTTCAGCCCCCAGTAATGAATGAGAACTGTTAGCCCTAATTCTTATAGCCCTCCAGCAGGGGCTGGTTGTATTATTATTCAATACATAGATTATAAAAAAAAAAAAAATCGTTTCCACCAACTTTATGCAGACGATTCTCAGATATACCTATGCTTTTCTCCTCCTGAGTAGATCGAATCAATGCCTGGGCAAATGTAAATGGATTAAGGTTAAATGCTGCCAAAACTCAGGCCATTGTCATTGCTTCCAAGTCCCTTCTTAGATCCCATACCGCCTATCCCATACTACACCTTAATGACCAACCAATCTCCCTCTACTCCTCTGTTAAAAATTTAGGATTTTTCAGTGATCAAAACTGAAAAATCTGGAATCTGGAATCAGTGATCAAAACTGGAAAATCTGGAATCACCGTATTTCTCACATCTCTCGACGGACAATTTCCACCCTCTAACTATTCCATCGCTTCCGCCATCTCCTGCCTCAACATACATAAGCTTTAGTTATTAAGAAATTATTGAACGTTATTAAGGTCACTGTGTAGGGTTAGTTTGAATACATAGAATGAAACATTAAGGTCCAGTTGCTCCAACTCAGTAAAGCTTAGATTAAGCGTTATCTAAGATTAAACCAAGTTTAATCTTGATCGGTCGACCTTAGAAAACTTGGTTTAATCTTAGATAACGCTTAATCTAAGCTTTACTGATTTGGAGCAACTGATCCTAACTATCGGTCGCAGGAATTTGGACTGAAAGCGTTGCTATAATTAAAACAAAATAATTAACTAATAATAATATAACTTACATTTAATTGGATGGTACAGTGAGGGTCCAACTTAACTAGAAGCAAAAGTAAAAAAATAGTTTTAACAATAAAAATACCTATGGTCGGTCACATAAATTATCATAGTTGAGTGCAGAAACCACTTCAGTCACAAATTTCAAATTTTTAAGGAGAGAGAAAAAACGTCATAAATCTTCCAAATTTTCAAATATTTGAACTTTTTTTCCTGTGTCATAACATGCATTTATGTTGCTGCCATTCAAAAATTATCTAATTAAACCGAATCGACATAAATTAGGCTCAGGAAAATTTAAAATTTGATTCGGACTTATGCTGTTTCTGCACAGTTGAAAAAGCTAACCAACATATGACCTTGCTGATGTGCCAGAGGAAGCTGATTTGCTGAGTCCCCTTTCTTCCTCGGCTTGAGTAGCGGTACTAGGATCGCTTGTTTCCATGCTGTGGGAAAGTGTGAGATTCGCAAGCATGAGTTGAAGATGTTCTGTAGGAAGGCTTTACCCTTTCTAGGAAGCATCTTCAGTAAAACGTACGTAATATCATCCTGCCCTGAGCTTTTATTTTCTTTAGTGCGTCATAGTATCGACTCTAGTTGATTGAAGGTAGGAAATTTTCCGCCCGCTCAGCATCCTTCTGTTCATAGCTTATGGTCAGGATTTCAGCCTATTCCGTAAGTGTCAGCATCTCATTCCACGACATCAGTCAGACAGTCCTCTTCTTGTTGACGAAGGTCTTGGCTTGTCTCCAGAACTGGCGAAATTCGCCATGGGTCCTTCGGCCAGAGTGAGGACTTCCAGTCTCGCAGGAGGTTGGCTATCTGGCGGGTCATCACTTTGATGGCTAGATTCCAGCTGTAGTCCCGTATGTGCTGGAAGATGTTGATCAGATTGTTCCGCTGGCTAATTAGAGCGAGGAAGAGTCGTGGTGATTTTATTATAGAAAAAATTATACTTTACAAATTTGTTTCTATCCAATGTTATTGTAAACCACACATTTTCAGATATATTCCTTTCATAGTAATTTTTAGCTAAGTGCTTCAAACTAAGTACTAGCCAAATTATTAATAGAACATTAACATACACATAGAATTTTATGATAAATATTTTTATTCCAATTCATTATTCTGCCAGATCAATGGAATCGAAGTCAAATGAAGAAAACTGACAAAATACCAAATGTTGGGTTGATTTTTTCACGAATTTGGAGATTTTTCATCCACTAGGCAGGTAGGAACTCCTTTCATTCTCATTCCTGACCTTAAAAATAAAACCTCCTGTGAAGGGCCAAACTTCATAAATTATTTTCCACAAATGCTCTATTTTGGCCCAAGGTCAATTCAAACTATTCTTAACTTCAAAAGGCATTTACTCGAACCCGGTAAGTACTAGCCAAATTATTAATAGAATGCTTTTTATGTAAAATTTTTACAGAAATATTTTCATCATTTCCGTCCGATCAATGGATTAGAAAATAAATTAAGAACACTGAGACATATTGCCAAATATGGGTGTGGAAGGTATGGTATTTCGCGAATTTGTGAATATTTCATCCACCAGAAAGTGGGAACTCTTCTGATTCTTATTCCGGATCCTTAAAACAAAACCTCCTATGAATGGCAAAACTATATAAATTATTTCCCCCCAAAACCCTAAGGTTGTGGGACTATATGGGTGGTGATTTTATGGGAGAATATATTTAGATCAATAGACTGAGATCTAGTATTTAGAGAGTGAATAGAGGAACATAGAGTAAGGAGTTCTAGGATGTAGGAAGGTTTTTGGTTCTGAGGAGTTAAAAAATGAATACATCGAAGAGGCATTGCCGTACGGAAATAGGATAAAGCCACTTCAACCCGGTGTACCGGCATAAAACCTTGTGTAACATTCTTGTAATCCGAATGATGAATCTCATGAAATAATTCAGAAGTCTCTTCTCTACACATACACAAATATATATATTTGTGTGTGTGTATGTAGCACTATATAGCTTCTTTTTTTTTCAGATAGCACCGTTTGCGTCTGTTATAGTGAATGGAATATATTGGGCTGTCGGTTCTCCAAAATTATTGACATTACCAGACGCAAAAGCTCTGTTGCGCCCAATGCATGCTCCTTGGTTGCCATGTTCTGAAGGTGCACCTCCATTACCACACAGGCTCCTTGCTATTTGTGATATCAGTGCTGATCCTGGAGGCTCAATTGAATTCATGAATGAGTGTACTACGATTGACACCCCGTTTTGTCTCTACGATGCAGACCGTAACAAAGACACCAAAAGGTTTTTCAGTTTATATATTTTATATTTATTTAGATATACAATGTACAGTATAAAAATTGTGGTCCCTCATCAATATGATATGTGGAAAAACTATCAATTGATAACAGACCAATAATAGTTCTGTTTTATTCAATAGATACAAAATTTTCGGGCTTAAGACATTGATATGTTGGGTATATCCAATATTACAATGAACTTCATCACCATGAGAGTCCTTAAAAGTTCTTGCATGAATTACAATAATTGGTTCAGACTACTCTCTTGTTTATAACGCGATACTCAATCCTTATGGACTTGCCCTCTTTATATTATGTTATGTAGTTTCAAACGGACACTTATTATACTTGTTTTTATTGTTACTATATTTTACTTACTTATGTAATATATTGAACGGTGGAGGGAGGTGTGTAATAAGCGATTGGTGGTGTCGGCATCGAACCTTCGGGTTCGCTAAGCCTTTTATTATTATTATTATTTGTCAACACTTTTACAAAAGGTTTTTTTTTTTTGTTTACTTGAGAGGGGGAGAATCAACTCCAACCACCTCAGGTATGTTCAATTTTAATTACTATTGAATGTTGAGAAAGCTTCTTACAATTCTGGCAGTATTCAGCAGCACCGCTTTCTGAGCTTCCTTTATTACATGAGTTGGGAGGCCCAGCCTGTCAGTAGCTTCCACAGTAGACACCGGTATCAGGCCATTGCTGGAGATCACGATGCCCCTAACGGTTACTTTATTAAGTTTATACAAACTTTTTAACTCAGCTGCTAGACCTTGATATTTCCGAATTTTTTCTGCGCAGACTGAGTTAATGTTTCCGTCATTTGGCACAGCGATATCTATAATTTCAGCCACCTTAATATTACCGTCAATTAATACAATATCAGGTCTGTTGTGGATCACGAGATGGTCTGTTATGAACGATTGGTTCCAATATAATTTTAAGTCATCTTTCTGGCAAATACCTTTAGGGCAATATTTATAGTAGGGCTTCGAGTCGTTTAATAATTTAATTTTTAGAACAATTGCCTGGTGATAGACTTTGGCAACATCGTCATGTCTTTTTAGGTATTCTGTACCTGCAAGAGCTCCGCAGCCTCCAGTTATGTGTTGAATGGACTCATATGTGCTTGCACAGAGCCTACATTTGTCCGATACATTCTGTTGCTTCAAGACGTGTCGCCAGTAGGATCTGGTAGCTATAACCTGGTCCTGGATTGCAGTTAAAAAACCTTCAGTCTCGGGAAACAGACTTCCTCCTACCAGCCAGCTAACAGACAAAGATTTATCTATTTCAGTCTGCTGAAGCTGGTGAAAAAACCTTCCATGTAATGCTTTTGACTTCCATTCTTCCATGCGGTCTTTGTCGGTAACAAAGATTGGCGCAGTTTCATGAGAGGCTAATTGTAGAGCAGTGTGCCCGCGATCGAGATTGCAGATTATCTTATGACACGGCACTGCGCTTTGTTTAAAGTACTCCCTTAGGTTCTTTTCTTGATTTCGACAAGACTCTTCAATATTTGTAAGACCTCTCCCTCCTTCCTTTCTTGGCAGGTAAAGCCTTGCCATAGATGCAGTCGGGTGGTGCATTCTGGAACCCGTCATACTTGTTCTTATTAACCTATCTAATTCCTGGAGTGACGTTGTGGACCATTTTAGAATTCCAAAGCTGTAAGATAAGGAAGGAATAACCCATGTATTTATAGCTTTTATCATTAAACCTGAAGAAAGATGTGTTCTAAGGATGATCTTTAGTCTTTTTTTAAATGAACCTATCAATTTACCTTTTACATCCTTTCTAGCTATTTTTAAATGCTGTTCTATCCCTAGATATTTATACATATCTTCTTTCTGAAGGTTCTTAATATGATATTCTTCATTTAACAAGTTTTCGGAATTATTTGGTTTTCCTTTTATAACGTGCAGAACTGCGCATTTCTCAGTCCCAAGGGACATCTGTATGGAGTCACTAAAGTGGCTGACTGTCTTTAGCATAGACTGGAGCTGGGATTTATTCTTTGCGTAGAGTTTTAAATCGTCCATATAAAAGCTATGACTGATCATTGCACTTAATTCATTAAATTTTACTTTGTATCCATTTTCTTCACGATTTAATAAAATTGACAATGGAGCCATCGCAAGACAAAACCAAAGGGGGCTGAGGCAGTCTCCCTGGTATATACCTCTTGAAATGGTAATGTATTCAGGTGATTGCTTATCTCCTATTCTCAGTCTTGTTTTCCAGTTGGCCATCAATTTCCTCAGAAGTTCTTTAATATAAGGATGGATTTTATATAAATCCAGAACTTTTAAAAGCCAACTATGAGGAACTGAGTCAAATGCTTTTTTGTAATCAACCCAGGCTATTGACAAATTTCTTTTATTCATGGTCGTCTGGCCTGCAACGAATGAATCGATGAGCAAAAGTTCTTTACACCCTTGGGCTCCTTTTCTACAGCCAAGCTGCTCGAGTGGAATCAAATTATTGGTTTGCAGGTGAACTTCAATTTTACTTGTGAGGATGGATGTTAAAATCTTATACACACCGTTGAGGCAAGTGATTGGCCGAAAATCTTGGGGGTCCAATCGATCTCCTTTTTTTTTTGGGAATCAGCACAGTAACGCCCTCACAAAACGTTTTGGGAATGTCTATCTGCCCTGTTATCATTTTTTTATAATTCATTGCAAGTGTTTCATGCAGGCAGGATAGATTCTTTAACCAGTAATTCTGAATTCTATCACTACCCGGCGCTTTCCAATTTTTCATTTTCTTTGTAGCGATGATTACATCCTCTTTCGAGATGTCGAATTCTGGCATTTGAGGTTTCTCCTGAAGTTCAGCATTTACTAATTTTAACCATTCGTTTTCATTATTATGCTCTACATTGTGCTCCCAAAGCTCTTTCCAATACTCTATAATATTGTCAGTTAATGAACAATTTGCACCTCCCTTATTATCATTACCTAAGCTCCGATAAAACTGCTGCTCACTGTTTTTGAACATTTTGTTCTGCTGTTTTCGAAGTAACGATTTTTTATATCTTCGTATTCTGTTTGCATAAACTGCAAGTTTTTGCTTCAGTATATCAGCATGTAAAGCCAGTTTTTCGGTGAGCTCAGATTCTAACACCACCCCTATTTGTAGTACAACTATTTCGTCGATTTTTCGTTTTACTTTTGTACTTGCTCCAACGGGGTTCCTGATATAACTCGTTATTATTCTAATATTTGCCCTGAGCGAAGCTATTTTATTTTCCAATCTTCTCTGCCAGCGTGGAAGTTTTGTATTATTTTTATCTCTGTTTTTTCCTTGTTTTTCCAAGCCAAGTTCAATAATAATGACCCTAGCTGCAACATAGGCCCAATGACAAACAGCTTCGACAGTCATTTCTGGGTAATCTACAATAACTTTACTCAGAGCCTCATTAACCTGATTCACAGTCAAACGTGATTTGAAGCTAAAGGGAATCTTTGAGAGAATTGGTCTAACATCAAGCGGTATCCCCTCATGAATAATAATAATTATTATTATTATTATTTTATTTGTCAACACTTCTACAAAAGGTTTTTTTTTTTTTTTTCTTGAGAGGGGAGAATCAACTCCAACCACCTCAGGTATGTTCAATTTTAATTACTATTGAATGTTGAGAAAGCTTCTTACAATTCTGGCAGTATTCAGCAGCACCGCTTTCTGAGCTTCCTTTATTACATGAGTTGGGAGGCCTAGCCTGTCAGTAGCTTCCACAGTAGACACCGGTATCAGGCCATTGCTGGATATCACAATGCCCCTAACGGTTACTTTATTAAGTTTATACAAACTTTTTAACTCAGCTGCTAGACCTTGATATTTCCGAATTTTTTCTGCGCAGACTGAGTTAATGTTTCCGTCATTTGGCACAGCTATATCTATAATTTCAGCCACCTTAACATTACCGTCAATTAATACAATATCAGGTCTGTTGTGGATCACGAGATGGTCTGTTATGAACGATTGGTTCCAATATAATTTTAAGTCATCTTTCTGGCAAATACCTTTAGGGCAATATTTATAGTAGGGCTTCGAGTCGTTTAATAATTTAATTTTTAGACCAATTGCCTGGTGATAGACTTTGGCAACATCGTCATGTCTTTTTAGATATTCTGTACCTGCAAGAGCTCCGCAGCCTCCAGTTATGTGTTGAATGGACTCATATGTGCTTGCACAGAGCCTACATTTGTCCGATACATTCTGTTGCTTCAAGACGTGTCGCCAGTAGGATCTGGTAGCTATAACCTGGTCCTGGATTGCAGTTAAAAAACCTTCAGTCTCGGGAAACAGACTTCCTCCTACCAGCCAGCTAACAGACAAAGATTTATCTATTTCAGTCTGCTGAAGCTGCTGGTGAAAAAACCTTCCATGTAATGCTTTTGACTTCCATTCTTCCATGCGGTCTTTGTCGGTAACAAAGATTGGCGCAGTTTCATGAGAGGCTAATTGTAGAGCAGTGTGCCCGCGATCGAGATTGCAGATTATCTTATGACACGGCACTGCGCTTTGTTTAAAGTACTCCCTTAGGTTCTTTTCTTGATTTCGACAAGACTCTTCAATATTTGTAAGACCTCTCCCTCCTTCCTTTCTTGGCAGGTAAAGCCTTGCCATAGATGCAGTCGGGTGGTGCATTCTGGAACCCGTCATACTTGTTCTTATTAACCTATCTAATTCCTGGAGTGACGTTGTGGACCATTTTAGAATTCCAAAGCTGTAAGATAAGGAAGGAATAACCCATGTATTTATAGCTTTTATCATTAAACCTGAAGAAAGATGTGTTCTAAGGATGATCTTTAGTCTTTTTTTAAATGAACCTATTAATTTACCTTTTACATCCTTTTTAGCTATTTTTAAATGCTGTTCTATCCCTAGATATTTATACGTATCTTCTTTCTGAAGGTTCTTAATATGATATTCTTCATTAAACAAGTTTTCGGAATTATTTGGTTTTCCTTTTATAACGTGAAGAACTGCGCATTTCTCAGTCCCAAGGGACATCTGTATGGAGTCACTAAAGTGGCTGACTGTCTTTAGCATAGACTGGAGCTGGGATTTATTCTTTGCGTAGAGTTTTAAATCGTCCATATAAAAGCTATGACTGATCATTGCACTTAATTCATTAAATTTTACTTTGTATCCATTTTCTTCACGATTTAATAAAATTGACAATGGAGCCATCGCAAGACAAAACCAAAGGGGGCTGAGGCAGTCTCCCTGGTATATACCTCTTGAAATGGTAATGTATTCAGGTGATTGCTTATCTCCTATTCTCAGTTTTGTTTTCCAGTTGTCCATCAATTTCCTCAGAAGTTCTTTAATATAAGGATGGATTTTATATAAATCCAGAACTTTTAAAAGCCAACTATGAGGAACTGAGTCAAATGCTTTTTTGTAATCAATCCAGGCTATTGACAAATTTCTTTTATTCATGGTCGTCTGGCCTGCAACGAATGAATCGATGAGCAAAAGTTCTTTACACCCTTGGGCTCCTTTTCTACAGCCAAGCTGCTCGAGTGGAATCAAATTATTGGTTTGCAGGTGAACTTCAATTTTACTTGTGAGGATGGATGTTAAAATCTTATACACACCGTTGAGGCAAGTGATTGGCCGAAAATCTTGGGGGTCCAATCGATCTCCTACTTTTTTGGGAATCAGCACAGTAACGCCCTCACAAAACGTTTTGGGAATGTCTATCTGCCCTGTTATCATTTTTTTATAATTCATTGCAAGTGTTTCATGCAGGCAGGATAAATTCTTTAACCAGTAATTCTGAATTCTATCACTACCCGGCGCTTTCCAATTTTTCATTTTCTTTGTAGCGATGATTACATCCTCTTTCGAGATGTCGAATTCTGGCATTTGAGGTTTCTCCTGAAGTTCAGCATTTACTAATTTTAACCATTCGTTTTCATTATTATGCTCTACATTGTGCTCCCAAAGCTCTTTCCAATACTCTATAATATTGTCAGTTAATGAACAATTTGCACCTCCCTTATTATCATTACCTAAGCTCCGATAAAACTGCTGCTCACTGTTTTTGAACATTTTGTTCTGCTGTTTTCGAAGTAACGACTTTTTATATCTTCGTATTCTGTTTGCATAAACTGCAAGTTTTTGCTTCAGTATATCAGCATGTAAAGCCAGTTTTTCGGTGAGCTCAGATTCTAACACCACCCCTATTTGTAGTACAACTATTTCGTCGATTTTTCGTTTTACTTTTGTACTTGCTCCAACGGGGTTCCTGATATAACTCGTTATGACTCCAATATTTGCCCTGAGCGACGCTATTTTATTTTCCAATCTTCTCTGCCAGCGTGGAAGTTTTGTATGATTTTTATTTTTCTTTTTTCCTTGTTTTTCCAAGCCAAGTTCAATAATAATGACACTAGCTGCAACATAGGCCCAATGACAAACAGCTTCGACAGTCATTTCTGGGTAATCTACAATAATTCTACTCAGAGCCTCATTAACCCGATTCACAGTCAACCGTGATTTGAAGCTATAGGGAATCTTTGAGAGGATTGGTCTAACATCAAGCGGTATCCCCTCATAAATCACATGCTGGGATAATAATGATTCTACTAGTTTGTCAATGTCTTTGTCTTCTTCTTCTGGAGGAGCTGCCTCTATTGCCATCGATCTTTCTAGAAAAGGTTCTGTTGGCTGCTCTTCATTTTCAATTTGCACCATTCCTAATCGTTCAGATACTACTATTTTGATATTTTCTGTTTCCACTTCAGATAGAAATTTTCTTGAACGGATCACTCTAACTTGGTCACTTATCCTTTGTGAACTCATAGTCATCTGTGGATATAGTTCTTGCCAATACTGTTGAATCCTTCCTAGGTATCCCGTCTTATCTGTTTCCAATTTTGTTGCCAAAAGATATGCCTGGATGACAGCCTTGTTCATTTCTGGCGTCCATTTCATCCTTCGAGCACCTCTTGGTCTCTGTTGCCGGGTTCGTGCGGGAGGAGAAATAGTCTCGCCCAAGCCCGAACTCGAACTAGTTGCCGGTTCTTGCAGTCTTGTGGTCCTTTGCGACAGGGTGGCGCCACTTGCTCCGCCACTACCTGAAGGAAGCTGTCGAAGGTTCCCGCCTGGTGCAGCCTCATTCCCAGGCTCGTCCGAGGCTATACGTCGATTTCTTAGCTCCATTTTTGATGGGTGATTGCATTTTAAACCTTCTGCCAGGCCTTCCTAGGTAAGGTTGCCCTAGGGTGTGTACTGCAAATGTCCTTGGTGTCAGTGTATGTGGTATTGTGTACTGTGATGTATGTGTTTGTGAACGGTGGGATGTACTCAGGATCCCGGGGGAGCGTAAAACCCCAACAACTGCGTTCATCAGTTGCCCTTGCGGGTTATTATTATTATTATTATTATTATTATTATTATGTAATATATTATTACTTATGTTGTGGATGGGTTATTACTTCTGTAGGTTTTTAAAAAATTATTTTATACTTATTGTATATTATAAATATGAGGCGTAGGACTGATGATCCTACCCCGTGTACTTAAATCGGGAATCGGGATGTGGTTTACCCGGATGTTAAGGTTCGGTCCATGGACGGTCTGTTTAGTGGAAAGAAATATAGGTCCTCGTGCGCCTGCTGACTCTGAGCCGCCATAATCCATGGATCTAGACCGATTTCTCAATGTCCTTGAACCAGAGTGAGTCGGTGAGAAGGACACTGCCAGATTGGTCCCAAAGGGATCGGCTATGGAGCTACGGGTGGTCTGTCGCTGCACCATAGAGACCATGGTTCATAGCAACGTGAGATTGGGTGACCCTTCCAGGCTATCTGTGGTTTCGCAAGAAACATAAGTCTGTAACGAGACGACATCTGGTGGCCAAAAATCTTCATGATCTGTAGTACCAACCGAATATAAATGTTTTTAAATCGCAGTGGGGTAGCTCAGTGGCTGAGCACAGACTTCCTGTGCTGAAGGTCCCAGGTTCGAATCCGACTGATGACTTTAATTTTTTTCATCTTGTAATCAGCCAAGGAATTTTTGGCACACCCGGCCAATTTAAAGTACTCTTAATTAAATAATTAATTAAGTGGAGAACCTGGCGATTGAGCGTGTAATAATGAGCGGGTGGTCCGACGCAATCACCTCTCTGAACAACCGTTGGCCATGTAACAGTACTTCCTCATATAATACTGAACCGAGGACCCTTCACGGGTTGCGTTCAAGATAAAATGTTATAGAAGATGAAGGCATAGCACCAACATTTATTAGAAACTGATAAAGTTGTTAAAAAATGTATTATGGTAAGTAATTATATGAACTACCAAATAAACTATTCATATAGAGACCGAACTCTATGGCCTCACAGAGAACTTTCACCAGTTAATTACTGTATAAAACAACTCATACCACAAATATTTCATGTATAGATTGAAAATTCCTCTTAGATCGTCTCATTTCATCTAAGGCGAAGAAGATCCTCCCTTCTAAGAACCACTTCTATCGGGATCTATTGGAAAAGAAGAAGAAGAAGGAGACTTAAGCGAGTACTGAAAATGTTAGTGTATAGCATATTAAAAGAAATTCCTGCCTAAGATCCAACTGCTGCAAGACCCCGTAGGGGTTTGTTAGGCAGGTTAAGTTTTTAAAAAAACAGTACTTTCTGACTCGTTCATTTTAATAGATAGAAATGAATTAATACCTTTCAGTTTTTAAACTCTTCATCTACTTCATTTTTTTTGGCCGAAAATATTAATTATTAATTTAAATAGGAACATAAATCACAAATATAGTAAATATGTAGTATTGTTTTTATACATTACAGCTTTAAGGGTCCTGGTGTATTGGTATGTTCGATTGACAATATGCCTACTCAGCTACCAAAAGAATCTACAGATTTCTTTGGGGAACTTGTTCTACCTTATGTTAGTGACATCATAACGTCTGATGCTACAAAGCCACTTGAAGAACACAACTTTCAGACACCAGTTTATAATGTAAGAATTTTTCATATATGATTACTTCAATAACAATTTACGATTTATTGTATTGATTTTTTTTTTATTTTTGTTTATCTATGAATCCACTCATCTCGCCGGTTCAACTGCAAATTGATGAGAAAGTCGTGAATTGTCTCGTATACACATCGAATGTTGAGAAATTCAGAAAATCGTAAAGGGCAAAGGACGTCCGGAGCCAGTAAGATTTACTAATGCTTCACATGTTCAGCGATCCATACGGATAAAGTAAAACTTAATTTGGAAAAAACAATTAAATTGCTAAATATTAGTCAGTTTCTTCTCACAGCGGTTTCTGTCATGTTTACATAGAAAATGGTGATATATTGGATACATATAAACTTATCGCGAAATATCAGGATTTAAAATAAAATTATTTAAGGCATGATCTCATATTTTAAGAGCAACGCATTCGGAGCCTAGGGATATGAAAGTATATAGAAATCAAGATCACTTTAGTTTCTCAGAGAGTAGATTTTTTTTTTTTTTTTTTTTTTTTTTTTTTTATTTCAATGGAATTTACAACTGTATTACATAGAGAATACAATAAGTAAATGAGAAATTTGTAACATGGCATGTACAACATGAAGAGAAACTACCCATTGGTAGAACTCAAATTAAAGTTCTATATTAGAAGATCCCGAGGCCATCTTCTTTTCAGACGCCTCGGAGGGTTATCAGGGATCGAGGAGGAAGCAAGGTTTGAAACGAGAGGATTCGGATGATTCTGCAGTTTGTTATGGAAGGAAAGATATCTGGATTGGGCCAGATCGGAAACATATGGAACATTAAGGTCTTTATGGATGATTTTATTTGTGACAAAGTAAGGAGCGTTGAGGATTTTACGAAGGATTTTGGATTGTAAGGATTGGATACGAGAGGAATTCGATGGTTTAGTGGAGCCCCAAAGCTCAATTCCGTAAGTCCAAATAGGTCTTATTATTGTCATATATACGAGTCGTTTATAATTGATTGAAAGCTTAGATCGTTTGTCTAGTAAGTGCTGCAGTAGTCGAAAACGTCGGGCGGTTTCTAGTCGTTTCAGTCTGGTATGGGGGTTCCAAGTGAGTCGTTTGTCAAGGTGGAGTCAGAGAGAAGATAAAGAAGAAATTAGATCAACCTTAATGTGTCTTTTTTTCACTGGTTAATATATTTTACTTATTTAATATTGGAAATTTAGCTAAATTGGAGTGTGTCTATTGTTTTTAGTTATTGTTATTTCCACAAATTTTATTATTAGATATAACAGTTTACTAACCTATAACCTTAATATAATTGACTTTACTTACACATATTTAGATTAATAAGTTCAGCTATACTATATAATTATACTTATAACCCATTTTATTTTTAACACTTTGGATTTAATGTTTATTAACTATATATATTATATGCACACATTTTATTATTGGATATAAGAGTTTACTGACCTATAAACATAATATATTTTACGATACTTCGCAGCAAACAATTACATCACCTGATCGGAAACATACGTGTCATGAGGCTATCGTAGAGAAGAATTTAAGTTATGAGAACGTGAATGAAGAAAACCGAAAATATTAAAACTGCAGGAATTTTTACTGAATGCCCAAGCAAAACAAATAAGCAAGACGGCAGTTGAGACGGTTCTTGCGGCGGCAAGTAAACTGGAGGATAACTGTAATAAGCTCATAATTGAAAATGCAGAAATAAACGGCGAAATAAGAGTATTAAGCAACCAAGCCTTCTGCCCTACACCTGTTACTTTCGAAACGCATGGTCTAGAGACATTAAAGCTGGTAATGAAGGACATAATAAATGAGGAGGTTAAGCCTCTCGTCACTGAAAAGGTCGATACCACGAAAAATCAATCTTATGCCTCTACATTAGTAGGGAAAAGACAGGAAACTCCTATTGAACCTCCGAGTTCAGTGTACATAGCCCAGACAGACCAAAGCAGGGAAAAATATCCCACTGTACAGGAATTGAAACAGGGGATAAAGAAAAGTTTCCCGCCTGCTAAAGAAGGAATCAAAATTAGAGGACTGGTAGAAACAACAAGGGGTGTAATAATTAGGAATCTAACAAAAGAAGAAGCTAAGAGGCTCGCTCAGTCGGAGAGAATAAAAGAACTCGGCGCTAAAGTAAACTTGGAGAATAAACGCCTTCCAAAAATAATTATATATGATGTCCCAAGTGACCTGGAGCAAGAAAAGATTGTTGAACTGTTCTAGACCATAAATGCAAAAAAAAATCGATCCTAATAAGCAGCACTTCAGCCTTGTTTTCAAGACAGGTCCAAGAGGAAGAGATACAGTTCATTGGGTGGCAGAAGTGTCCCCGGCGGTAAGAAATGAAATATTGGCAGTGGGAAGAGTTTTCCTGGATTGGTCATCCTGCAATGTGAGAGACTGGGTAGCAGTGACACGATGCAATAAATGCCAGGGTTTTTCACATATAGAAAAATTCTGCCCGCAACTGTCGTAAACTGCGGGTACTGTAGCGAAAGAGGACATGTTTCAGGAGACTGCCCAAAACAAAAGACCGGCGGACCGCCGAAATTCATAAACTGCAGTAAAATCAACTCAGCATCTAACCATCCGACAAATGACAAAGACTGCCCATCATACAAAAGAGCTATTGAAAGGTTGGTAATGAGGATAAAATACAACGACAATGAATAACAATTCTGCCCTCCGGATAGCACAACACAATCTAAACAAGAGACCGCTCGCAATGTCAGAATTTAGACGCATGGCCTCACTAAATAACATAGATATTGGTGCTCTTCAGGAACCTCCTACTAGGAGAGAAAAGGTGTCTGAAACTGAACCGCAAGACCGCACCATTGCTAGCAAAGGAAGTGAGCTACACGATGCATCACAGAGCGCAATGGTGGTGTTTAATCATTGTCTTACAATTACATCACAGCCTGATCTGGAAGATAGATTTATTTCAGTTGCCAATGTAGATTATGTAGGCATTAACTCTGACTTGATCAATGTTTATGCAAAATTCACACTCCTACTGGAAGACATACTGACAAAATTGCAGCTGGTAGTACGGAAGCTGAGTAAGAACATCTTAATAATGGGCGATTTAATGCTCACTCAATTTTGTGGGGCAGCCTACAAGGATCTACTAACTGCTAGAGGATTTTGCTGCAAGGAATGGCCTAACCATTGTAAATGATCCCATGGCCTTGCCAACGTTTTCGGGATCCAGCGGAGAATCATTTATCGATATAACTCTGGCATTGGCCAGCTTATAAGTTTTTGGAAAGTAGAGGATTGGACCTGCAGTGATCACCGGGTGGTTTTATTTGAAATAAACCTAAACAATCAAGAAAAGCGATACCATAAGGAACGTTTTGTGACGGAGGGTGCTGAGTGGGAACGTGTTGCTGAGGATATTGCAAGGCACCTAACAGAGCTGGAGCAACACCATCATACGGAATTAGAAAAAGAGGCAGCGAAAATCTCAACAGAAATTTTCACAGCGGTTAAGGTGTTGCCCCTAACACGAGAGTCAACAAGAAAGGGACAAGTATGGTGGAACACACAACTCACAAGCCTGAAGCGGGAGACCTACAGAGGAAGACGCCGCTTTCAGCGAGAAAACGATGCTATTACCAAAAGAAATTTCAAAAAAGCATATTACGAACTTAATAAGAGTTTCCAAAAGGCAATAGGAAAAGCAAAGAAAGAGACATGGCACCGATACCTAGACCAATGCAAAAGCCCTTGGGGACTAGCCTATCGGAGAGCCCTTGATAAAATCTCAAATAGAAACTTCTTCGCATCGTTTATGCACAATGGGGATGCAACCAGAACGGCAGATGAGGCTGTTATTGCTATAATGGTGAGATCTTTCCCTGAAGACAAACTAACTTCAGACCATGAACACAAAAGAATTGCAATGTGTGAGCTTCCGCAAACCGAAGATGCGCTTCCATGGGAAGAGGAAGACGTGGGGTTGGCTATGGGTCAACTCCGATCGGGAAAGGCACCAGGACCGGATATGATAGGAGCCGATATCCTTAGAAATACAAAAAACGCACTGATTAAGCCTTTAACTACATTCTACAACCGATGCTTGAATAAAGGCATTTTCCCCTGTATCTGGAAACAGGCTGAGCTGGTTACTATCTTGAAGCCAGGTATAACAGAAGTCACTGCTAAATCTTACCGCCCAATATGCCTCCCAAATGTAATGGGGAAAGTTCTGGAAAGCCTAATGCTGCAACGCCTAAAAGATGTAATCGACTTGCTCTCTCCTGATCGATTCGGAGGTCGAAAAGGACAGTCAACAACGGATGCCATCAACCAGCTCATATCAACAGCTAAGGACTCGCCCTCTAAATATTTTGTAGTCCTCTTGTATGATGTTGCTGGCGCGTTCGATAAGAATATGTGGTGGCCTGCCATTATGGACGAGCTAAAGAAACTAAAATGCCCCAGAAATATATCTAGGCTCATATTATCATTTTTATCGAAGCTCTCTGTCTACTATCAACTTCCGGGAAGGAGAATAACGAGGCCAGTCCAGAGGGGTTGTGCTCAGGGATCAGTTTTGGGACTCCCCCTATATCAACATGAACCCTCTCCTTGTTAAATTGAGAGCTGCCGGGTATACGCCATCTGCTTACGTGGACGACTTTGCTGTTGGAATAGAGACAAAATCACGACAAGATTTGGAAATAAGGGCAGTGGAAGTCACTGACGTAGTCTTGCAATGGTGCCAGGAAAATAAACTTTCTTTAAATTTTCAGAAGACTCGACTCCTGTTTTTGTTGTTGACAGGTTACATTCTTGGATGAACCAAGCAATGTAAATGGACAAGTGAATCACCATTAGAATCAGCTTATAAAAACAATGTAACTTTGCAAAAACTGGTCCGATCCACATGATTTTTGACAATTTTGTAAGAAATTTAACGACCTTCCAAAAAATTGGCTAACTAATAATTTCAGGTTTCACTGAATTGTTATAACATCTTTGTTGATGTCCACTAAAATAATTTTCCAATTTTTTAAGGACAGACATACTCTTCGATTGAGAAAAAAAAAACATTTATTTTGCTCATCGGGAACCATTTCCCATCGTAGGTAATTTTGGAAGTTCCATGGTAATTCTGTGCATTCCCTTTACGGCAAATTTTTCGATTCCATCCATTCTTTGAAAATTGTTCGAAAACATTTATTGAGATGTCTAGATCAATAATTAACAAACAATAGTTTTTTTATTTATTTATTTTCCACCCTCCCATGCCACCATGGCAATGCGGGTGTATGCAGTAGTGTGATGTTTAGCATTACTGCATAATGACACACTACTGCCATAATATCAGTTAACGTAATTCAAAGCTGTGCACACAGCTAGCTCTTCTACTTTTCCTCCTTCTACATCAAATTAGGGCTGGCTTCCCGAATCCGAAGCTCTTTCTGGAACTGGTTCTCTTCTCATTCTGCGGGCACGGGGGGGAAGTGAGCTAGACCCACAGCCGTCTTCCAGCCATTTATGAACTCTTGGAACCGCGGTAAGTTTTCGTCATTAACCAACTGAGAAAACTCCTCCTCAGTGAGGACGTAAATTCCCGTGTTTCTTATTAACCTGGCTCTTAATCCGTCGAAAGCATTGCAGGCCGTGACCACATGCTCAATAGTCTCCGGAACACCACAAGCGGGGCAGTGGGGATCTATATCCTGTCCGAGGCCATGAAGTTTAGCTCTGAAACCCCTACGCCCCGTGAGAAATTGTGAAACCCAATAGTCCGGGAGTATCCATTGCGCTTGTAGCCACGGTGGGGAAGTATTTTCTTAAGGTACTTATTATTTAGTATTTTCTTAAGGTATACTGTCTGCTCCAATCTTCAATTGTTTCCTCCCGGATAATCATTTTCCATTTATTTGGGTTTTCAACGACCTGTTGAGCCCTCCCTCTTTTAATCGTATCTGGTCACTTCTTTTCGCAAGAGAAGGTCGAGAGGCACCACCCCCGCTAAGACCATGTTTGGACGCGATTTTGGGTAGTGCGTTCACTTTTTTTTGTGGGGACATTTATTTTTAAATAAATAGTTACAAGGAACACAACGATATGCAATTTATAGGGATGTGGAGGGGGAGAGATGCACGGTAGAGGGGTCTGCCCACCGTGTATATGCCCAACCCCCAACATGGAGGACCAGGAGCTATGTCTGTCACTGAGTCACTCAGCTCCCTGCGGTGTGAGTTGTCTCCAGTAGGCTGACGGATCTCACATATTCGAAGGAGGAGAGAGGAATCTTGAGCAGCATGTCTTTCCCTGGTGGACGGTCACTCAAATCGAGCGGTCACTCATCCAAGTACTTACCACGTTCGACGTTGCTTAACTTCTAATTACCTATTGCAAGCACCTTAGGTGCATTATTTCGGCTTACCTTACATTTATAAAGACAGAGTTTATTAAATATAAATAGTTTCTTGACAGTTACCGTTTTACTCATCCCTGAAATATTTTTATATTATACACTTCTTCTTTGACACAAGTACAATAAAATATATTTTAAAACAATTACAAATTCCCTCGATTTTTTGGATTATATGTTTTTTTTTTCGTTTTTTTATTCAGTATTACAAGTCTGTCACTTGGACATTAGTTATAGTGAGGTAGGATAACAGTCACACTATATTTACAAAAAATATCAAATAAATAGAAGAAAAATAACAATAAATAATAATCAAAAAGTATATACAATAAATAAAATAAAATAAAATAAAAATAAAGCAAAAACACATGAATACCTATGTACACTATTTACAATCAGGCGAGGGAACTCCGAGGAAGGCTTGTCCCTTCACTTATGGAGGGAAAAGCTGGACTACAGAAGAACCCTGCGCTTCTCTCTGAACCGCATCACTGGTACTAAAGCCAGCGGATATTGATCGAGAGCCTCATACACTCATGTCTTGAGTGGAGAATCTGGCCATTGCCAGAATTGCAATATATACAATCTACAAAAGGTCGCGAGGCCACTGCCGGTTTAACCTTCTTAGAGGATTATAGAGATGGGTGGTGCTTGATAGGGATTGTACAAGAGGATTTGGATGATTCGTAAGATTCTGGTGAAATTTAGAGAATTTTTCTGGGGTAAGGTCTAGGAAGATGTTGAGGTCATGATGTAGGGTTTTGTTGGTTGTTGTTTACACAGAAAGGAGCATCGACTATTGTTCGAAGGACTTTTGACTGGAAGGATTGGATGCGTTTGATGTTAGAAAATTTTGCTGTTCCTCTCAGTTCTAGTCCGTAATTCCAAATAGGTTTCAGAATTGTCTTGTAGATCAGTAACTTGTTTTCAATAGAAAGTTTAGATTTTCTATTACTAAATTATGTGTTACTAAATTTTCTGTTAATAATATGTGACTACTAAATCTGTATAGCTATACAGAAAAACAGAAAACAGGCCAGCTGGCCGTATCTTCGGTTAAGTTCCTGTCTTTTAAGTCTAGTATGAGGGTTCCACGTTAGTCGTCTATCTAATAGAAATCTAATAGAAAACCAAGGTACCGGACTGTATCTGAGAAAGGAAGCTGGATGGTGTTAAAATAAACTGGTGGGCAGGATTCACGACAAAGGGTGGAGATTATTTATTTACATTTGGATTCGTTTATCTTAATGCGACAGCTCTGACACCAGTGTTCAATGACGCTAATGTTCAGATTTAATGACGCTATATGTTTTTTAAAAATTTAAATATAATTATAAAAATTTACTGTTAGCATTTAAATTTCAATGCATTTCGATGGAAACTTTTGGTTTCCGTTAAATAACAGTTTTCAAAAATATTATTTATAATTATCTTCTACAACCGATGTGAGTTAATTATATTTTTTCTATATCTTAACAATAAATGAAAATCTAATCATTTTATTTAAATTATACTCTTTTAAAAATTGCTAATTAGTCTCACACAGTGTTATAGTGGTTTTATTTTCAACATTATTATCATATACTTTTGCTTTTTTATCAATATTTGATGGAGATTGATGACCAATTACTGTCTGATAATAGTTTAGGAGTACGTTGATAACTGAATATCGATTCCATTTACTTAGTTGATAAATAATAAATTTATTTTACCTTTTGCAGGCCATAATAACGAGCAATGGAAAATTAACACCAAATTTTGAATATATTCAAGAGCTTAGAGAAAGTATGTAAGTAGCCACATGATTTATCTTAAATAAATACAGAACAGTTAGAGTTAAATCTTTTAGGGAAAGATATTTCGGATGTATTCTGTAAGAGATTCTGTTTATATTTAAATAAAAAAATGTTTCTACTAAAATACAAATTAAGATTAATGAAAATAATCATTTTCAAACTGGTGTATATTTTTGCTATTAATTCAACGTCTTTTTGGTTAACCGTTTACAAGAAAGCAAATATTACTTCAATCGCTATGATAAGATAATTTGAAAATGTGGTGGCTGTTTCTTAGGCTTATATAATATGTGACAAGTTTATAAGTAGGTTTCAAAAGCTTTCGAGATATCGGTCAAACAAGTATTTACTAAATATTACATTTTTCATATATAACAAATTGTGACTCGCTTGTGACTTTATTTATTTTTTTTTAGGAAATCTAAGCACAAATTTGAAGCAAGGTGTGATGGAGATATGAAAAAAGTCTTAGTTTTAGGTGCAGGTCGAGTGTGCATGCCACTCATCGAATATTTGCACAGGGATGAAAATCTTAGTATTGTTCTGGGTATGTTAAAATCTGTTTCTTTAAAAACAACTCTGTTTATGTATGGTAAAATCCTCGGCTGTACCCCACCTAGTTTTCGTCACTCACTGCAGTTATTGAAGAACATTAAGAGTTGAGAATAGTCTAGAGCTGGCGAAAGGCGCTCATTTGGGAATCTCTTCTGCGCTCTCATACACATCTCATCATAAACATCACCCACTATTTACTTATTGTCCAGAAAGGACGTTCCTTAAGTTTTTGGCAAAAATCACACATTCCTCCTGCACAATATCATTGTAGTTCATTCATTCTCAAGGCTGCCTGATCTAATTCTTCAGATTTTTAAAAATTGGATAAAGGGTGCCGAAAACCGGCGGATATGGATATGTTTCCGTTTTACTTCAAAAAAATAAATGAAAAAAAGTGTTTCATATGTATATTTTGAAATTAGAGATCTATTCTTACTTAATAGAACCGATATTGTTGAACCAAGCACCCATGCGACTAAAAATGGTACAAACATTTTAAATTTTGCTCATGGGGGTTTTACCCTATGTCTTCTCTACACTTCCATATCATCTTTTCAGTTGTAAACAAATTTTCATGCAAACTTCACGTTTGTCAGAATTGCAATAATTGAAAATTTGATTGTTGTCGGCTCAGTCGTTTAATTACATATGGCACAGTTGGCTGTAAGATTGAAAAAACGTATTCTAAGATATATCAAAGGGGAGAAGTTATTAGGGATCGAAGAGGAAGCAAGGTTAAAAACAATAAGATAAGGATGGTTCTGAAGTTTATTATTGAAAGCTAGGTTTCTGGATTGGACCAATTCGGAAACATATGGAATATTAAGATCGTTATGGATTTATTAGTGACTAAGTAAGGAGCATTGAGGATTTTACGAAGGATTTTGAATTGAAATAAGTGGATACGAGAAGAATTCGATGAAAGCTCGATTCTGTATTGGACATACGGAATCGAGCTTTCATTTGGACAATATGTCTTAGTATAAACCTCTGTATGATGTTTCAGTCTGGTATGAGGATTCAAAGTTAGACATTAATCCAGTTGGAATCCTAGGTATCAGATTTGTTCAACTGGGATAAATGTAGTATTGTTAAAAGAAACTGCTGGACAGGAAGTCACACTAGTGGATCCAGGATTTAATTTTGGGGGGAGGGGCTTCAGCCCGAAGGATTTTTTTTCATGTATATAACGATAATTAATTTGAAAAAAAGAAAGAAACTAACTAACTACCCATATGACGTGTTGTCTTAGTGACTCTTAAAGTCCCATTAAATGTAATTAAACTAACATTAATAGTTTAAGAGATAGTTTTAAATATTTTTTTCTATAAAATATGATTATATTTTACCATTTTGGGGGAGAGGGACTTCATCCCGAAAGCCACCCTTAGATCCGCCTGTGGGAAGTTGTTTGAGAAGAAGGATAAAAGTAATTTGATGTTATTTATTGTAATTTATTTTAATTCCCCAATTTCGACACCATTCCTCAATACTTGGTGGGCCAGACCCTCCTATCGTGCATTCCCCCACCACATCCCTATAAATTGCATATTGTTGTGTTCCTTGTAACTATTTAATAAAAAACAGCCAATGTTTCCACAAAAAAAAAAGAACGCACTGCCCCAAAATGGCGTCCAAAGATGGCGGATTGACGACTCTCACTTTAGTTAGTTTTTTGGTCACTGAGAATCAGCACTTGGCTTAATTTCCTCAAGGATGGTCTTTTATTAGAGCTGAATATTCAGAGAGTAATAAAACATCAACAAATATTCAAAAATAATTGGCTTAGGCAATAAAAAACACCAGTAAAGTCAAAAATTTTAACAAAAAGTTGAAAATCAAGCGTTGTTTGTAATTAAACTGCCAACAATAACGCAAAATTTGCTGAAATAAAACATCTAGAAATATATTCCTCTTTCTAAAACACTGATTACTTTTTAAAATATTTGAAGCAGTTCCGTAGAAAATGCACTTATGCGGGAGAAAAGCGGTGTCTACAAGCCTCTACCACACCATTCTGTACACATGCTTAGTTATAGTGATATAATAACGTTTTTAGTACATTATATTGGTTTTATTAACAAACAAATATTAATGCAATCAATTGATTGTCAAAAAAAAATAAACAAATTTTTTTAAATTTATTATTTTATTTTATTTTTTTATTTAACTGTTTTATTTATTAAATTTATTATTTTATTTTTTTATTTAACTTACTTTATGCTATACGGAGGTAGTTTAAGAAGAAATCTAATGTAATGAAAATGTAAAAATGATATAATTACAATAATAAAAAGTAATTAAAAAATACTTTGCTGAATATCTTGAATTTTTTATTTAACGTATGTAATTTAACACTTTGTTTTGTATATTTACTGGTTCTAATGCTAATTTGAATTGTATATACTTTCCAGGAAATAAGTCATATTAATACCTGTTTTATAAACTAAAATAATACATACCTAATCTGAACTACACATAATGAATAGTTGCCGGGCTGTTTAGTAAAACTTATTGTAATGAGATTTGGAACAAATTGTTCAGAAGTTGACCATATTATAAAAAATAGGAAATCTTAATATTTAATGTATTATTCCCTCTGCACAAATAAAGATGGAAAGTGCGAAACTATAAGTTCTTCTAGTAACCGGAAATGATTGTTCGGATTTGGTCTCAAAATGAGCGAAAACGCGATATTGAACTAAAAAATTGGAAAAACGCACTAAGCGAACGAGAAAGGAAAAACAACGATATGCAATTTATAGGCATGTGGTGGGGAGAGGAGGGGTGCACGATAGGGGAGTCTGGAGTCTGGCCCACAGACTACAAGGTTTGCAATGTGTGATTGAAGAGTGTGGAATGCAATTTTTAAATTTTTTAGTAGTTGTGGTTTACTTTAAAGAATCTATCAATAAGATAGAACGTATAATGATACAGTATGTAGGTGGTAGAAATTTAGGGAGTTTGTGCAGCAGTCTCGGGTGCCAGACTCTATCAAACGCCTGTTCAACTTCAATAAAGACACCCGTATTCTGCGCTCACACGATGACATTGTAAAATAGTGCAATGGGATCTGCGGAATCCAAATTGGTGATCTGGGATTATGTGATTAGAATCTAGGATGGGATACGGGTGTTTTAATATAAGTTTTTTCTGCATTTTGCCCATAATATGACGGTAAATGAGAGATAGGGCGGAAGAGGATGGATATTATGATTGATTTTTGGGATTTTGAATCATTTTAACAATAGATAGTTTTCATGACTCCGGAAAATATGTAGTTTGGAGATATATACAGCATTATATATGTAAGTAAGGAATAGGGTGGCTTTTTGAGGAAGAAATTTTAAGGTCTGGGATGTAATTAGGTCATGTCAGGTGACTGATTAATTTTTAATAAATATTTTTAGGTCTTAATAAGAAAGAAGCTATTGATTTTGTCTTTGAATGTGTCACTTATAGATAAATAAGTATTAAAAACATTAAATTTGGTACAGTCTTAGAGTTAATTGGTTTTCATTGTCATAACTACGTAAAAATCGAAGCATAAAGTAAGTATAAGCTACACGCTAGGACTTATTCCATTCAATGGTAGGTTTCAAAACATAAATTCCATGAAAAAAGTTAGTTACTGCTATTCTCTTATTTAAAGGCACGAGTGATTTTTCTGTGTATACATTTCATGTAACGTTCAGAAATTGTTAGATGAGTAATTCAATCCATCACCTTTTCACCTGAATTAACAGTATGTATCTACTTTTTTCTTGACTGTTAATACTTTAGTCATATTTATATGAATAAGAGAAGATCTATTACAGACAATAGCAGACATTCGAAATTTTTCATAAGATGTTATGTTAGGTTTTGATGAGCTAGAAATCTTTTCTAATGCAATTTCATAGAAAAAAAAATCTTTCATTCTGTAACAATAAGAAATCTTTCATGGTTTAATCCATGTTTGTTTGAAAGTTCTCAACAATTTTGCTTCATTGGTCTTGTGTTTATCGAATGCAAAAACATTTTGTAGTAAAATTTTAAAATTTGGAAGTTTTACTGCATTACTGACGAAGTAATATTCTTTCCCCTTCATTTCCAGCAATTTTAAATTTAATTTTCGCATTAATAATAGCCTAATGTGAGATGAAAACCATGAACAAATAAAAACCACCTTTTTCATTTTTAGAACTGGTTTGCCGGTAAGTTTTGTTCAAGGATAAGGAATAAACCTAGAGATATGTAATGGGCAGAGATAGGTACTTCTAGTGAATTCTAAGACAGCTGAAACATCGATTTTTTAAAATATATATATATAGTTGGTACAACGTTTCAAATAATTTCGCAAAACGCCCGAAATCGTACTAAAACCGCCCACCTCGAAAGTTCTCGAGGATTTAACAAGCGAGAAAGTTGAATTGAGAGTGACTTCCATTACTTTTTCTTTATTTAATATTTTTTACTAGCGTATTTGAGATACTATCGACCCAGTTTTTGATTAAATAACATTTAATTGTCGATACTTGCCAAATTATAAACAAATCTTGAATTTAATAAATAAAGCTTTAAGACGTAAAGAAAATCGCTGCAAATTATTTCACAATGGTTTATTATCTCCAAACAATTAGTAACATTACCTTCCGAGTTACAAAGAAAAAAAAAAAGGGTGATGAGAATTATTGGACTAAACTGTTTTTCTTTAATCATTAGTAATTTGCTAAAAAAAATAGCATTAGTTCAGTAACACATTTAAAATTTAAAAACCAAACCAAGGATATAACATTTGGAGTATAACACAAAAAAAAAAACCGGAGACTATATCTTTGCTCCTAATTGTCCGATTTTATCGACTTTTTTTTGTTTTTTAGGAAAACTTTTAAAAAACTATATACAATATGAACAAAAAAGTAAAAACTTTTCGAGTTATTCGGAATTTAATATTACCATCCCTCGTAACTTTTTTTCCAGCTTCTTTTCGTTGAAGTTTGTTATATAGAT